TTTTTTTTTTTTTTTTTTACCCAGTACTTTTCCATTATGTGGCTATAGCACAGTTTGTGTCTCCATTCACCTGGTGATGAACATGTGGTTGCTACCAGTTTGGGGCTATGCAGATAAAGCTGCTGAGAACATGTGTGTATTAGGCTTCATACGCACATAGGCATTCTCTTCTCTGAAAAGAGTATATGAGAGTTCCAGTTCCTACCCATGCCCTCCAACAATTAGTATGGTCAGACTTCAATTTTAGTCTTTCTAAATAGGTATCTCGTGTATGTATCTCGTTGTAGTTTTAATTTACATTTCCCTAATGACCAATGATGTTGAGCGTCTTTTAAGTGGTTATTTGCTATCTGTATCTCTTCTTTGTAAAATATTCAGATCTTTTGCCCACTTAAAATATGGAGTTGTTTGCTTTCCTGTTTTCCTTATTTTATATGTTTATGCATGTAATTGTATTTCATTCATTTATATTGAGTATGGTATTCCATCAGGTGAATCCACTCTCCCCTCCCCCCACCCCAGACAGACCGCATGCTCAAGTTGGGGAGGGGCGGAGGGAGGGAGAGAGAGAATTTTAAGCCGGGTCTACATCCAGTGTGGAGCCCAATGTGGGGGGCTCTATCTCACAAACTGAGATCATGACCTGAGCCAAAATCAAGAGTCGGGCACTGAACCAGACTGATGAGCCACCCAGGCACCATGGATGAATCCACTCTATTGATAAACATTTTGAGTGTTTTTATTTTTTGCAGTTAGAAATAGTGTGCTGTGAACATACTTGTTCATGATTTTTTTTTAATTGAAGTATAATTGACATACCATATCCTGTTTTCAGGTGTAGTTCCTAGCGATTCGATCGTTTTATATATTATGAAATTATCCCCGTGGTAACTCTGGTTACTGTCACCATACAAAGTAATTACAAAATTATTGGCTGTATTCCCTGTGCTGTACCCTATATTCCCTGATTTCTTTTTTGACCTATGGATTATTTGTGTTAACTTTCCAAGTCTCAGAGGTTTTCCAAGATATCTTTTTCTTATTGGTTTCTAGTTTTAATTCCTTTCCCATTTAATACATTATCTGTGTGTTTTTAATACGTTTAAATTTGTTGAGATATATTTTAGGACACAACATATAAATTATCATGGTGCATGTACATGTGCTCTTGAAAAAGAACATATATCGTGGAGGCATTGGGCATAGTGCTCTATAAATGTCACTTAGGTTAAGGTGTTTGATAGTGTTTCTCAGATACTATATGTCTGAACAGATTTGGGTTTTTTTTGTTTGTTTTGGGGGTGCTTTTTGATCTCAATGTTCTATTAATTGCTAAGAAATAGGTATTAAAATACCCAACTATCACAGTAGATTTTTATGTTTCTCCCTTTAGTTCTATCAGTTTTTGTCTATATATTTTGAAGCCCTGTTATTAGGCACACACATACTATGATTGTTTTGTCTCCGATGCATTAACCCTTTGTTCTTAATGAAATATCCCTATCTCTGGTAATGCTCTTCATGTTGAAGTCATCTTACTATGATTTTATAGCCATTGCAGCCCTCTTATGCGTACTATTTGCATAGTACATCTTTTCGTTCCATCCATTTACTTTG